CCACGGTGCGCAACTACTGACTCGTGCTTTCTCCAGATTGGAGTATGTCTTACCCCAAAACACGAATAAAGCCTTGGACATGAGCTCAACCACTTGAGCTTAGATAGCTTACAAAAGGAGACTCTTGCCAAAAAGGCCAGTTTGGGCTAGAGTGGGTAGGATTATGTCCGGGTGTTACTCCGGTAGTGTGAGGTTTCAACTTATCTAACTTATCTTCAATCATTGGAATAGTTCAACGGGAAAAAATGACAGGAACCCCCTATATTTGATGGCTGGTTGGTGGTTTGGAACATGACTGTATTATATTTCCATATATTGGAAATGTCATCATCCCAGCTGACGAACTCCATCATTTTTCAGAGGGGTTGTGTTACCACCAACCAGATTATCATCAACCATCATTAACCATTTAAAAACCGTCATCATTAACCATTATTAACAGTATATTAACCATCATATCATACACCAACCAGTTGGTCATAACTTCATGGAACCATGGTTTCTTGCGGATTTTCCCACGCCTCGTGTGGGAGACCGTGGCAGGTTGCTGGAGACCGTGGGGGATCCTGAGCCCGGGGTCGGTTGTTGAAGTGTTCAAAGGTAGAGGGAGTGGAGGCACAAAGATGGGAATTCCACAATATATATATATATATATATGTGCGTGTGTGTATGTACTCTCCACTTGGAAACTCAATGCGTTCACATGTTTTGCTGCGTCTAGTTGGGGGGAAAGAATTGTGGAAGTCGATGCGTGCGGCGTCCAGCTTGTGTTTGGAAAACATGGTTTTGATTATTGATACTTTTACCTGCGTTTTTGCATGTTTGGAATTTACCTAATGTGTCAGTTCCATTGGGAATTGGATTGTGTTGGGTTTTGCCCTTTTGAAATTTGGAGATGTGATTGTATTGAAATGATGAGGGGGATTGGTGGCGAGGGGTTCTTTTTTTCCATTTTAGGGTATCGCCGGGGTATCGCCAGAGTATCGCCGGAAATACGTGAGTTGTCTTGCCTTGTCTTGTCTTGTCGCTGCTGCTGCTGCTACTGCTGCTACTGCTGCTGGTTCTGCTGGTCCTGCTGCTGCTGTTGCTGCTCCATACCTTCCCACTATATACCGAGTTGCGTGCGCCACAGGGGGCACACGAAGCAGTCGTCACTGGCCGGGCGGTCGGGGTGGCAACAGCCCTGCGTGCTTGACACGCTCGCCTTGCCGGGCATTGTTTGGACTGCATCCGTCCTTGCACCTGTATCTTTGGTTGGTCGCTTCACTTTGACTGTAGTTGTGGTGAAATTTGCGTCCCATTGCGTTTTTCAACAAAATCATTCAAAATAGTTCAAAATAATGACGGCATAGATGCAGCGTCCACAATATGATTCCTAATTTTAGAGCCATAAAAAGCACCGAACATTAAATAAAATAGATGATTGCTGGCGTACAGCGTCCCATGCTAATTTACATTAAATTGCACTGACTTCTCTGACTTCCCGAATGCGCGGCGTCCCATGGTGATTTGTGTTTCAAAGAGACGGTGCACTGACTTTCCCGATTGGGTGTATAACTAACTTACATACATTACGTTGCGTTGCGTCGCGTTACGTTACATTACATGCATACATACATATGTATAACATATATATATATATATAACACACATATATATATACACATGTATAACACATATTTATATATATACATTGTGTATCATATAAATATATAGTGCATATATATATATATATGTATATGCACTATATACAGTATACTATTGTATATATATATATATATACATATTTAGCACTTTATATCCAAAATATGGATTGACCTGTCAAATAGATGGTGCTTTGATTGCGAGAAATGACCACAAAACCTGATTAAGCCTGCAATGATTTGGAGTTTTAGCGACAATACATGTGTTTGGTGGTTTCAAATATGTGTCTTTAAAATCCCTAGAAATGGGAAAAGATGAGTGCCAATGACTCATGTTTTTCAGCCTCATGTGTTTCAGCGGCTTGAAATCACCAGCCAGCATCGTCCGTGGGTGGAGATAACAGGTTTTTTTTTGCTGATGCGAATATGCCCGAGCCTTGGGCTGACTCGGTATTCTTCTGAGAATTGCATCAAATTGTAACCTTAAAAGCCTTAAACACCTTAAAAGAAGAGAACAAGAAACCGCATCAAATGCTGACCTTTTGGTTTGGGCGTATGATCCAACGGGTTTTGCTGGCGTTTTGTGTCCAGGCGCCCATATCGGTTGCCGACAAGTTCGTAGGGATTCAGCAGTCGTCCACCATGGACTTATACTAAGTCATGGTCTGGTTGGTGGTTTGGAACATGAATTTTATTTTCCCCTTCCTAGTTGGGAATGTCATCATCCAATCTGACGAACAAAGCCATCATTTTTCCAGGGGGGTAGGTCAATCACCAACCAGATATTCATATGTCATGGTGATCCAAGTGATCCATGACTTGGAATTGGGGGTACCCCCATGACGACACCTCCACTTTTCTGAGGCCAAAAAGACGAACCCAAGGTGTGGCCATGGGGCCGGGTCGAGTTGACAACGGCAGAGTTATTTTCACCGACCGGAATCCTTCAATGGCGCTAAAGCGCTAGCTAGGGCACTTTTTGAATATTGGTGTTGATGATCTTGATTTGAATGGTTTCTGATGATATATCTAAAAATCTAGAGCATGACTACAGTTGTCATTTATGTTTATTGCATGTTCACACATTTTAGATGGACCTGGAGCTCCTGAGCTAGGACGACACGTCGGTTCTGAAGTGTTGGCTTCAACGGCCAGAAAGTTTGTAGGGCCAACTTGGCGTAGGACATGGTAGGACATCCTATCTCAGGACAAAGCCTTCTTCGAAGTTTCCCTGGAGATTGCAATTTGTTTGGCATGTGGCGGACCATATACTAACGTAATACTAACGTAAAGGTGTGTAACTTGGTTTGCGCGTGTGTTACTACACAGATGTGTATGGATCAATACCTATTAATACCATTTTTAGTGGGATGAACATCCATTTACCAGCTATTTTGATGTTCACCAGGTACCAGGGTTTTGACCCATCCCCAGATTGTTACCAACCAATAACATGTTTTCAAATCCCATACTGTATCAGGCAACTCCTATGATATTGATCATATTGCAGCTATGTAAAAAACATGATATCAGCCTCCAGACATGGAACAGTTTGAAACCTGAAAATGATAGAAAACAAACAATGGAACTACAGGTACCATTCTGGAATTGCAGTTCTATCTATACTAATGATAAATACATATATATATATATACATATGTATATATACATATATACTGGCTGGTGGTTTGGAACAAGATTTTTATTTTTCCCATCGTATTGGGAATATCATCATCCCAACTGTTACTCACTCCATCATTTTTCAGAGGGGTAGGTCAACCACCAACCAGTATTTATTACATATATATATATATATACACCCTCTGGTTATTTAACATAGCTATGGTATAGATGGCCCATAGAAAGAGATGATTTTCCCAGCTAGAAACCTCCATTTATGGCTGGGGATTTTCCATGGCGAACTGTTAGTCATAACCAGAGGGTATCCATTCCACTCTCCCTATCATCAGGCTGTGGTAAATGTACCATTTGTGGATGTACCACCAACCAGTCTTTAATACATATATATATATATATATCATAGACACATCATGGATGGATTGTGGATGGCTTCACCTTTAATGAAGAATTAACTCGGACCAGGTGAGCAACGCCACCAACTTCCTGTGGTCCCAACTCACGGGAATGCTGTCCTCCGCGCGGGAGCCAAGGGAGCCAAGGGAGCCATGGCGGCCATGGCGGCAAGGTGAGCATGGCACGAAAGAGCCATAGAGCAACAGATCAATATCTAGTACTATACATAGATACATGATGATAAGTATAATTGTACTCTCTATAATATATATATAATTATCATATATATATATATTATATAAGCAGCAGTGGGAATGATGTCAGCGATTTTTTTTGTTGCCTTGCTATAAGTTTATGTTGGGTTGCTCTAACTCATGCTTGTAGGTGAATGCTAGCCACACAGGGTGGAAGCGTGGTGATTGATCGAGCAGATTATCTGGATTTAATAGGGATTTAACGGGATTTAATAGGGATTTAACGGGATTTAATGGGATTTCATAGTGGGGTGTTGGGAGCAACCCTGTTCAGAGCTCTGGAACATCACCAGTATCAAATATGTAGGCAGGTAGATGGCTAGAAGGAATAGGGACGTCAGTTTAGGCAGTTCAAACTGAACCTTTCTTTCTGGGGGCGAGGTATGATTCTACTGAAAACTTGATTTTTGTTAGTGACATGCAAAACGTGTCCGCGAGGCAAACAATTGTTGATTCAATGGCTTAATGTATTTATGTATGCAATGGCGCTAGAATTTGGATACGTTTACATGATCTCTCATGCGTTTATTTTTGTTTTTCCTAAGTCATATCGTAGAATCTACATGTCTTTGTTGATTCTCCGGTTATCCAATAAGTTGGAACGTTGGATAACCGATAACCTGGACTAGTTTGTAGCAAACGAGCAATAAACCAAAACGTTAACCAAATGACATTTAAATGGTAAATGTATGTAAATGTCCAAAGTTCTACAGTATGAGTAAAAATAGGGTTTCTTGTAGCATATGTCCCTGAAGCCACAGGGCCCCACGCAAACCGTGCAACGTGCCTAAGGGGCCAAAACGTGCGGTGCTCAGAGGGCAGAGGAATCCTCTTTTGGGCGCAGGGATCCTAAAATCTCCTGAAATCTGAAGTCCTACCCTCCAGTAATCAAACGTGGCTAGCTGGAAAAATACACCATTTACTTCGATGATTTTCCCAGCTAGAAACTTCCATTTATAAGGGGATATTCCGTTGCCATGCTTGGTTGCCAGAAGGGCATTCCTCGAATTTGGAAAGGGACCATGTAGGGGAAACGCCTTTTGTGTGATAAAAGTTGTAAAGACCATGGCAAAGCAATCCAGTGATGTAAGACAATGTATACCCATCTACTACACAATGTGTACAGGTCAAAAATTGGTAATTATGCCTCCAAAAGTGAAGGCCTGAACATGTTGATGCAAACTATGGCCTGCCTGGAGAGAGAAAGTTATACTTGATTGGACCATGCCCAACGCCGACATGTTATCCAGCAAATAGACACTGATGGAGAGTCTATCTACGGGATGATTTTGTGAGTACAGTAGTTGCATATGTTGCATAGTCGTCTTTGAATTCAGTTCCTCAGGACATCCCCAGGTGTTGTCCACGTTTCTTGGGTGAGAAAGTCAAGGTAGCAGGACCTGCTGGAACCCAGTCATCTTAACGGGTGGTGAGGTCCCTGCGAGAATCCGCTGACGTCGGGGACACCCAGGGACGAAAGTTGGCGTTGCTTTGAGCGTCTCAAAAAAATTTAGCCAATGCGTGGGACAGCAACGGAAAGCAATTTCAACACGTGGAAAAGCAACTCAGTAAACTTTTGTGTATGAAGTTAATCATTTGTAACCCCGCAAACCTTAGTCACATCATTTCGCTTTGACATTCATAGTTTTGGCCTTACCACGTTAGCATTTTTTTTTGAAGAGACCGGTTGGCCTGGAACATGGCTTTTTCCCATTTCTGTTCCCATGATGAAATGGACCTTGAAGATTTGGAATTCAGCCAAGGGAGCTACTGACTTACCAGTTTTGGGATCGGGGACAAATCCAGTGGAAGTCAAATCAATTTATGGAGGATCCAATTGGCCATCATATTTCTCTTTTCAACTGTGGATTGCCTTCCCAGCTGAGGGGATTTAGCATATCCACACAATTCCACACATATATATCTACTGGTTGGTGGTTTCAAATATTTGTTATTTTCCATAATATATGGGATAATCCCAACCCCATTGACGAACTCATATTTTTCAGAGGGGTAGGTCAACCACCAACCAGATCTACATTCTTCAGCATTTAACAATGCGATAGCCAATGGAAACGAGGGATTGCCTCCAGCGAATTGCTCTCTCAGGGACGCTGACAAGATCGAAATTGCTCAGAATTCGCTGGTGCCCTCGGGAGAATCGAATTGACAGCAACTAACATAGAACCTGCATGAACCTGCCAGAAAAGGGATTACCTTCTGGTAATTTAACATAGCTATTGAAAATCACCATTTTTAATGGGTAAATCAACTATAAATGGGCCATGTTCAATAAATAGCTATGTTAGTTTACCAGAGGGTAGAGATTACTTTCCACTTTATATATAGATAGCCTTAGGTAGCTATTTATCTATTTATCTAATTTCGAGAGTGTAACTCTGTGGGTGCCCCATGTTTACAGTGTTTTCTGATGTTGTTTTGATAAATTATGCTTAGTTATACTCATATGTGTTGTTTTTGTTCTATTTTCTATGCTGTTGATATTTGTTTGTTTCTGTTGCGTTGTTACCTATTGTATATTTAATTTGGTTCTGGAAAGTTCATATAGAATAGCATAGTAGGGGTGGAGACCAAGCTCATACCATTGGCTCTACACTGTTTCTTCCTTTGAGAAAGCATATTATAGATTGACCCATGGCAAGTAGCAAATTCAATATGTGTATCATCATATGAACATGCAACATGTATATTTATATATATACACAGTTGTGTTACAATACCCAAGAATGATTAATGAGATAAGCTAAGTCAATTTCATAGTCTATGTTAAAAAGTGCCCGTATTGACATCACCATATAATCGTCCTCATGCAAATGTATTACTATTGCTTTGGTTTGGTGGTTTCTACCAGAAAAAAACTAAAGTACAGCCTTGCAACATCAGGCAGTTGTAGTTGCAAAGGGTATATCAACTGTCAACAGGACTCAAGTTTTGTCCCACGATTAACAAACGTTTGAACACAGATTTCAATGGCTCTACCAAGTCTTGCAATGAAGTGCAAGCTTCATCACGAACTTATAGTGATCATGAAAAAGGCATGGAGCAAATGACTCTTCTCACAGATGTACAGTGCAAACTCATTTGTTCAACCTTTTAGTGCGCATGGAATATATAAGAATACTTAGAACCAATCTTGGAACAACATGGCAAAATCAATCTTACATGCACGTAGCAATGATCACCTTCAACCCATCACATGCATGGCCATTCCAGAAACTTAGAGTCTCATGTAAGAAACTATGGCAATCAATTTTGTATACATGTGTATTCTTGTCTCTGGGGTCTACCTGAACTTGTACATGTTTCTCTGGTAAGCCAACAATGCAGGCAAACATGAAACTATGCAAATAGTGTCACATACAAGCTGCAATAGCTACACAAACAGATATCATACATATACATGACTCATCATCATGTTCGGGAAATTGCACATGACATGATCTTAATTGGCAATACCTTTGCAGAGTGGTGAATTGTATCAGGCTCTTTTCATGCTACGCTATGCATTTTTTCAACAAATATGGACATAATATGTACATCATATGGAAACAAATCCTGCAATCAAAATCTGTGAGTGAATGTGCTGATCAAGCAATTTGGTTAGTCTAAATGGAGTTTGCCTGTGACCAGCGCAATCAAACAAGAAAATATCTTCAAGGGTATGCCTACATATAGCCATGGCAAGGAGCAGACCTACCATAAAAGTGAAACGGGATGAAAACAAAAACTGATGCTAACACCTTCCCAACGATAAACTTGATGTTTTCCGTATTGTTCCAAAGATATTATCAGATCAAGATACTGCAGCAAGGGTGATCTTAGCTATCTCTTGAATTACCATGTAAATAACCAATAGAAGTAATCATTGCACCATGTCATACGTTGCCAGCTTGTGTTTGTAGCTTTGAACAGTTGTGGCACTATTGTTGGCTCTATTTGAAATCGAGCTTGAATTGACCCATGTGTCGAGTTGGACTGCACAAAGACCTCCATGAGAGTATAATGGCCACACAAATCAATCACGAAAAATATGGGTATGGGTCAAAACCTACTAATCATGTGGTATAAGGGATGACCATCAACCTTGAGGTTCACTGGGGGTACAGGGTTTTGACCCACATCCATATATGATCTAGCTGCTTGCTCCCCTGGGGTGCCTGTAGATGGTCATTCAAGATTACTCATTCAAATGAATATTGAGCTTCCTGGCCATGACAAATGTAGCATTTTTTGAATAAATAATGATGTTATTCTATATTTATATATAATAATATATAATAATATATATATATATATTATGGTTACATATGTATAACTGTTCTACTGTCCATCCAGTTTTCTTCTTGTGCCACTTTTGAATATCATGCACTGGCCCTTGTAGTGGCACAGCATGGCCCTAAGACATAGTGTTTTTATTTTTTCAACTTAGTATGTCCTTGCCATGCAGTGAAGAAAATCTAAAACTCTAAAAACAATAAAAAATCTCATCCAAGATCAGATGGGTTATAGTTAGATATAGTTAGTATTGGTCTAAGGATAATGAGTCTGCAACATTTTAAATTGCTTTATTTACTGATGACGCTGTTTTTAGAATAGACAAATCGAGTGGTATTGCTCATACTACGTAGTGTAAACACCGTTGGGCTAAGTCCGGCTAGATCCCGTCCGGCCGGTACCGTAGTGCCGTCCGTGCGGCCGGTACTGTGGTGCTGGTCCAGATTGAAAGCTGGTTTCCTGGGGTCTGGGGGGGGGTCAATAAAAAGAAACTCAGGGAGGTCTAGATGGTAAAAACCAGAGCTTTAGGGTTTCCAGAGGTCTCGAGGAGGAAACATGAAGGGGAAAAAACATATACAGAAAACTTAGTAGCAATATATTATATAATCCAAAAATTGACCCAAATATCTGTCAATTCCCCTTTCCAGCCCTCCACAACGTCCCTTTCTGAAATACAAATAACATTTAAATAACATTGTTCTATCAAGTTCTATCATATTATTGTGTGAGATATTGCAAGACGTGGAAAACAACTCACACAAATGTTTCGTCTTACTTTTTGCTGTATTTCCAGAAACGTGGTAGAATGGGGCCGCCGTGGCGTGACTTGCTGCTAATTTCAGGGTCGTCTATGTTGATTTACAGGTGAGATGGCTTCTGACAACTGTTTTGGTTGTACGCTTTTTGACCAAACTTGGTAACCCCATTGACCCAAAAGAATCAAAACTCCTGCAGTATCAACATCTACTTTTGGTCGTGATCTAGTTCCTTAGCAAAGGCTTATTTTTTTGTAGGTTAACGATTGAGTTTACATTAGATCATCCCTCTGGTAAAGTAAGAGTTCGACCCTTTTTCAATCACCAATTGATAGTGGAAACTCGTCTTCCAACTGGCAGGGTCCAACTGTTAATCTATTGGAGGGCAGGTAATCAAACACTCTAGTGACCATAAACCGAAAAAAGAAAAAAACATTTCGATGGAGACAGCCAGCACCACATGTCACGAAAGTCGAATTCAAGAGTAACAGAAAACTGTAATATAGATAGTATACCAATATAAATAGATAGATATGTAGATAGATAGTATATATATAGATAGATAGATAGATAGATAGACAGACAGATAGATAGATAGTATACCAATATAAATATATGTATTAGATAGATAGATTATATACCAATACAAAGTGAAGACCAATGTCATGATATATATATACAGTAAATGATGAATCTATCCCGTTTTCTGAATAGACATCGACATAATCACATTGTTTTTGGATCCACCAGATGAGTCATATGAGTTGATATGAGCATTGAAACACATTGAAAAAACATATTGAAACATATGAGTAAAAAAACATGGACTATCAGTGACTATCAAATCTATCAACAGATGGATGCAGATGTATGTTTTCTGAAATGATCTCACGAGATTTCTCCCTGCCACTGCACTATCACGGTGCAGGTGAACACCTACGGAATCGATAAGTTGGCCAACAAACCTTTCTGTGGCTTCGGGCAAGAAACATGGGGAAAACTTTGGCGATGAATCATCGGGGTGAACGTAAGAAAAAAGGATTTACCCTCTGGCAAACAAACATAGCTATTGAAAATGGCCATAGAAATAGTGGGTTTACCCATTAAAAGTGGTGGATCTTTCCATAGCTATGTAAACGTTTACCAGAGGGTATATACTTGCGCGGAAAAGTTACTGTAACAGTTTGCTTAATGATGGCTCATTTAGTTCGATCATGATGGGTCAAAAATTTGGACCGCGATGGACTCACAAATGGTGGGCAACTTTGAGAATTTTCTGTACTAGAACAATTGGAGTACCCAGTCTGAACCGCGACTTTCTTCATGAAAACACATGACACCAATGAGTCAAAGCCGAAGGCTGTTCAGAATGCTGGGTATAATAAAGGTCCATCATCCATCATGCATCATTGAATTCTCACAATTCCGTTTCCAGGATATTCACAGGTTTTCCAGGCTTTCTTCAGGCTTTGAAGCACATGAACGATCCAGGCTTAAAGTGGGTGCCATAGCAACGACCTGCTACGTCACTGTAAATGATGGGTTTTATATGTTTTATGGGGGGAACAATCCCAGAAATACCCTTTCTACATGTGGAAAATCACCAGTTTCGAAGGTAAATCATCTATTAGTGGGCTATGGCCATTTTGAATGACCAGCTATCCGGATCAGTTGGTTCCTGGCCCCCAATTGCCCCGAGTAGCCGTGCCACTGCCTACCCCTTGCTGCCTTTGACGAGTCAAATGTTTGGTAGCAATGGACCCATGCAATTGGTGATTGATCGTTTTAATGCATCCATTTTGGGGGTGGTCATTTTGACCCAGACAAAGTTTATCGATACCTGATAAGAACAAGTGTTGCCTCTTGCTAAATATAAAATATTATAAAAATCCGGTGTAGCTTCGTGGTTTTATGTTCAAAGCATCCCATGCTCAACTGGGTGATATTTAATATATATATATATATATATACATAATATGTATATAGAGAGAGATGGTATATTATTTACATGTAGACAAGTGTATATATCTATATATATATATATTTCTACATCTATATCTATATAGTATACATATGTATACATATAAACATAAATAAATATGCTGATAACCCCTAAATGTTGGCCATCCGCCAGCCATCAGCTGCCCCGCCTCCACCAAAGGTCGCCCCCCAGCTGCCCCGCCTGCGACGCCAGCGGTGAAAAGCGAAAGTGGCGCCACGCCTGATGCAGGTCGCGGCTTGTACATAGGTTACCATCTGTTAAATGAGTATGGATCAATACCTATTAATACCATTTTTAGGGGGATGAACATCCATTTACCAGCTATTTTGATGTTCACCAGGGGTACAAGGTTTTGACACACTGCCATATCCCATTTAAGCAATGAAATCCTTATGGTAATATAATGTACAAATATATATATATATATATATATATAGTGAATATCCCATAAATATCGAATTGATATCCCCATGAGAGCCGTGAAATCTAAAT